AAGCTGTTACTTCACGTTCACCTTGCTGCATCTTCCACATTTGGGTATTCAGTTTGAATAGTTGTGAATGATTGTCCAAATCTGAATAGGTTTCCCTAACAGCTTCCCACACATCGCGAGCCGTCGGTAGGAACATGAATGGTTTTCCAACCACCGGATACATAGAGTTGATCAACTAGGCGGTAACCATCGAATTTTCAGAACGCCACTGCCTGCACTTTGGATCATCACTGGCTGGCGGTTTCACTTCGTCGTTCAAATAACCGAGTTTCCCTTTGCCGTTGATCACCAACCGCACGGACTGAGACCACTCAAGATAATTTTTTCCATTCAATTTGTGAATGGTAATTTGAAGGGAATTCTCAGAAAGAGAAATAACCGTTGATTGAATACCTCCCTCCGAAGACGTCACACCACTAGTAGCATCCGAAGATGCTGAACCAGAGCCAACTATGGCGGCCTTAAAATTCATGATCGAACCCTAAAGCTCTGATACCATGTTGCGAAATATAGAGGGAGAGAAGAGGAAAATTTTCTTTGTTGATCATAAAACATATTGAGCATACAACTTAAATAAGAAAAGATAGGAAAGACAAGCCCCTAGAATCTCTCTCAATCAGGGATTGACTAAATCTTTCCCTTAATCCTAGGATATGACTTTCCTAAATTTTTTCAAATCTAATCTTTCCTAAATTTATCGAAATCTCTTAATCAATCAAATCATATCTTTCTTAATTTGCCGCAAATCCTATCTTTCTTAATTTGCCGACACAAAGTATATAGTACTATGTTTTCTTCTAGAAAGGAGAGAAGAGAAGGAGAAGAAAGGCTGTTTGGGAGCCAAAACTTAGGCTGGCAGCACCCTAGCTCTCTATTTATAATAATGAGATTAAAAAGAAAAGGCAGAAATTGCATACTTGCCCTTGGTGGCACACCCTAATAAAAAACAATAAGAAAAAGCAAGAAACAAGCTGAGTTATAGAATAACTATTTAAAAACTTCCTATCCTTGATTTTCATCACCCACATACATCTCAGCCCTGCTAACCCATTCCCTAGCATAATCATTAAATTTTTTACCCTGAGTATATCCTTGGTGGAGCCCATTGAATGAAACTCTCTAGTCCTGCATGTACCAAGTGCATGACCGAGGACCAAGTACTCAAGTAATTTTTCAGTTACACATGATTGGTATGTCTTGATTGTTTCTTATTCCATGATATTGTAGGAATTCACGCCAGAAGCAGGAAGATATGATGTTATATGGGTCCAGTGGTGTATTGGGCAGCTTTCAGATGATGACTTCGTATCATTCTTTAAGCGAGCGATGGTAAATTGCTTAAAAACTAGCATTTACTTTCTTGCAGTAGTACCACCTATATAAGGCACACAGGCTAACAGAAAGTGTAAGAAGTTATCATTGAATGCCACATGTTGGTGTTCATTGTTCTATGCATGGGTATATGCTTACTGTTCTTGATGGCTATATATTTTCCTTGGATTTTTACTTTTATAGTTGCCTTCTTTTTGAACTGATGCTAGAATATTTGCTGTCTGGGAACTAGTTATTAAATTCCATTGTGTTTAATAGAAGATGCACCAGTAAGATGAATAACAATGTAAAGGAGGATTACACTGGTCAGAACTCTGTCCAGGAGGTTGTTCTGTCTTGCATATTCTGAATAGTTGTGTATTATGATACCTGGACCTGTACAAGGTTGCTATATTGTGTTGGATACCTAAAATTTTAGTGTAAATTTTGTATCTGATAGCATATCCAGCTGTGTCTTTGCCATATGTGGTTAACAAAGTTGGCCAACTATTTAATGGCTCTGACCTGAGGTATAGATAGAATTTTAGTTTTGACTGTCCCAGTCTGTTGTGTTGCTGGAACTGTCTGATTAATTCAAAGCCTAAGCTAAAGTTTTCTTCTAGAGAGTTCTATTGATTAGTGTAACACAAGGGTTTGACAGTTGCATGATAGAAAATGGAAAATATTTAATTTTAGTCTACCAAAGTTTGGTTGTTGCTGGATAGATAAAAGAAGTACTATAGTGTCATTGTATGACTCCTTTTCTTTTTTTTTTAAGTTCAATTTCGTATTTATTTTATTTCTGTGCAGTCCCTACTTCTCATTTCATTCTCCACAGAATGGTTGTAATTTAGGATGCTTTCCACCCTTTAAATAGTCCATCTACTTGCACGGAAGCAAATATTGTATATGGATTCAATATTTTAATCAGCAGTCCATTTTCTGAGAATGTTGCAGGCTGGCCTCAAACCTGATGGATTCTTTGTCGTGAAGGAGAATGTTGCAAAATCTGGTAAGACTTAGCAAACAAAGTTGTTTTTATATCTCCAGTAAAGCCAGTTGATCTCAAAATAAGGGAAACAGCTTGTAGAGACTTGCATTTAAAACCATTGGTTGTCGTAAATGTTAATTTCAGGGCATGCTTTAAATGTTTGGGTGTTAAAGAAAAAATATCATGACTCCTTCGTTGCAAAAACTATTAATTTAAGCTTCTACCTTGAGAACACTTTTGAGCTATAACACTTAGAAGTGCATAAGTCTGTCCTCCCCATTCTGCTTTAGCCAAGCTTCACATTAGTAATTTCTTTACAACTTTCATGAAATGAACATAATAATTGCTCTTCATCTACTCAAAGAGTTTTCTTTAATGGAGGAAATCCAAAGTGCACTAAACAGAACAGAATGGCAAAAAATGATTATTGTAGCCAACTCCATATAATTGGGACAAGGCATGATGATGGAGGAAACCTAAAAGGTAGAAAAGAAATGTCTAAAGGCACATTTGTCAAGTCTTCTCAACCAGCTTTTAGAAGTCAATTTGGGCCTGTTTAACCTATAATTTGGCCCTTGCTTACACAAGACCTCAAGATCTGCATCTATAAGTTATAGCCACATCTATAATTCCGCATCAGATCTTCACTTGGTAAAACTTCTTTGTGCCCCACCTTTAAATCATTTTTCATGAAAATAGACTCAATTTGGTTCTACTTATGTGCACTTAAGTCTCATAATGCAAAAGAATATCTATCACCTTCCTTTTTTCTAACTTCTTTACCGAGCACAGTATACAACACCAAACTTTATGTGTTAGTATGGAATTACTGAGAGGAAAATTAGACACCATTTGGAAGTTACTAGAACTTCTCTTATCCAAATATTGGTTCCTATGTCCTTTCAAAGTGTTGATCTTATTGCATGCTACTTGATAAATCATATTCCCTCATCTAACTTCGATGGATATGTTGTTAATGGGTTTGATGGATGTGCCGTTAATGGGTTTGATAAAGGTCCTTCCTAATAATGGCCCCCAAATGGGTATGGGGCACTATTTATAATGTTTTGGACCTCCCACTTTCCAAAATCTTCCTATATATTGTCTTTGCCTATTTTTCCCTTTAGTCATTATTCCAAAAAAATCTAGTACTTGATTGCAAATAAGTTTCAATTAAGTGAATAACTAGTTTGAACCAGTTCCATCTGGCTCAAATTTATGTCAGGTCAGCCAGGTTTATATACTTGTATAAATCCACTGTTTTACATGAAGAGCAATGGGAATGTCAATATCACAAGAAGGTTCAGAGGTACCTGAAGGATGATTGGCTCATGGATCTGCCTCATGAGAGTTTAATGGCAATGGCTGCACTTACTGCTGGTTCTACACCCATATTCAATGGTTGCTATGACAAAGGACCTTTTTTATGCTGCCAAGTATGATGAGAGAAAGTATGACAAAGCAGCAAAGGTGGCAGAGATTATTGCTGAGACAGTTGAGGCTAGGACTGAGAAGAGAAAGAATGTCTCACCTCACCACAACTCTCCCCTGAGGTGAGACAGTAAAGAAAGGACGTGATTCAAAAAACAAAACATCAATAGAGATGTAAACTTTGTGAGACACAGGGTCAAAACACTTATACCCCTTATGACTGAAAGGGAGCCAAAATACACACATGGAATGACATGAGGGTCCAACTTACTATATGAGGGAGAAAGATTCTACACAAAACATTGACAACCAAACACACAGGGAGGAATGGAAAAGGAAGGAGATGAAGGGAAAAGCAGCTAATGTGGGGCCTAACAGAGCAACGGTCTCAATGGTATACAATTAATTATTTCAGTTGTAGTGAGAACTACATCAGCCCACAACTGCTTTGTAACGTTCATCTTGAGAAGCAAACCACAAGTAACTTTCAATAAATGCTTGTTCTCTCTCAGCAACATCATTTTGTTGTAGTGTTTTAGGAAAAGGGCCTTGACATAGTATACCATTATCTAGAAGATAGGTATTGACATCCTTAGTAAAGTATTCTTTTGCATTATTTGAGCGGATAACTTAAGTATCGACATGGAATTGAGTATACACCATATGATGAAAGTTCTTTACGATTTCAGGAACTTCATCATGAGATCGGAGCAGATATATATCCATGTCTAGCGTGAGTAATCATCAATGGAACTAATAAAATACCGATATCCACCTTCAGTCACAATAGAATAAGGGTCTCACACATTAGAATGCAGTATGAAAAGAAAATTCGGATATTTTATTAATAGAAGGATATGAGCCTCTCAATTGTTTCCTTAATTGGCAAGTAAAAGAGATTAGTATCCTCAAAGAAATTTTAATGACATGCTTTGTCCCTCATATAACTCGAAAATTAGGTCATTCGAACCCTCTCTGTGACTTGAACAAGCTCCACCTCCGTCAAGCTCTCTTTGAACCCTCTCTGTGACCTGAACAAGCAGCTGCGGTTCTCTCTCTCTCTCTCTCTCCTATCTTCTCGCCACCACCACTGCAACTTGTAGTGGTAGTTGCAGCGACGATTCTCTCTCGCTCTCTCGCTCTCTCTCTCTCTCTCTCTCTCTCTCCCCCTGTCCTCCTGCCACCGCCGCTGCAACTTGCAGCAGCAGCGGTTTGGTGAGTAATAATAATAATAATAATAATAATAATAATTATTAATTATTTTAATATTTTTTATTAATTTTACTTATGTTATTTATTAATTATTAATTATTTTTATTAACTAGTAATTTTTAATTATTTCATTAATTTTTAAAAATTATTTTAATTTTTATTTTTGTAAATTTTTAATTATTTTAATATTTTATAGTCATTAATTATTTTTTTTTAATTTTAATCGTTTCATTTATTAATTAGTAATTTTTAATTATTAATTATTAATTTTTTATTTTTTATTTGTATTGTTTCATTATTATTTTGAGGTTGAAAATTATTTTTTATGAGATAATGCAAATTGAACTCAACATTTCCAAATAGTATGTTCTACGGGTAAAATAGTAAAATCAGTAAATTTCAGATGGTAAAGGGTTGATCCAACACAAACAAACTTATGGATTCAGAGCCTCTAAAAAGTAGAAAAGCACATATGCTTCTTTTCAGATTTCAGACTATCTTTTTAGCTTTTCAGATCTGAAATTTCAGATTTATCAAACACCACCTTAGTAATGCAGCTAATATATAGGAGATTAAGTGGCATCTTTGGAACGTGGTAAACATCAAACAAGCTTAGGCCAATAGGAAGGGAGACAACTCCTTGTCCAGCAATAAAATAACAAGAGCCATCAAAAAGTTTAACTGTCTTTTCCAAACAAAACATGATAGGAAGAGAAAAAGAAAGACTTACCAGTCATATGGTTTGTGTCACTTGAATCAATGACCTAGGAAGACTGAGAAGGAAAAAGAAAGACTTACCAGTCATATGGTTTGTGTCACTTGAATCAATGACCTAGGAAGACTGAGAAGGAACTAAGGAAACATGGCATTGGCTTGGTTACCTGAATTTTCTGCATATGAGGCAGATGGAGTAATAGAAGTTTCCTCCAACTATCTAAGAACAACCCAAATTGCTCAAACTAATCATGCATGGTACTTATAAGAACTTACTTAGGTACAAAGACCACAGGCTGAATTGTAGGTGTTATGCCTTGACTAGGCTGCTGACTATCCTGGCTAGTGTTGGAAGAAGTGATATTAGTTGTGTTAGGTCCTTCGTTCTGCTTCCTTTGAAACTTCTGAGGATTGCCAACTAAATCCCAGCAAAACTCCTTTGTGTTCCTGTTACAATGAGTACACCAATATTTGTATTTGTCACCTCTTCGATTCTTTTGTACCTCACCCATCTTGCTGGCACTCTTAGCTAATAATAAAGCTTACCTACTCGTCAGGAGGATGCATAGCATCCCTCCTAACTTGCTCAGACTGCACCAAAGCAAACACTTCCTCAAGGCTTGCATGCTCCTTATCACCCAAGGCTTGTAGTGATCCAACTCCTTCCACACAGAAAGAGCTGAATAATAGGCTGGAAGAGACTTCTCCCCTTGATTCAATGCAGCTGATTCTACTAGGAGTTAATTGATCCAAGCAAAGTGCCTTTGTTCAGAGAATGTGAACTTTACTTGGTCCCAATTTTCCTTTGTTGTTTCAGTCCACATAAATTTCTTTCTAAGAGCAGGTTAAATTGAAGATGTAAGCCATGACTTGATAAGGTAGTTTTCTTGTTCCCACTTCTCATACTCCACTAATAGGCTTCTTAGTCTTGCTAGTGGGGTATCCCAACTAACCTTTGGCTCCAAGAAACATCTTCACACCCTTGGATCATTCCAAGTAATTTAGTCCATCAAGAAGAACAATGGATACAGGAAAACCAACATTGTGCATCCCACCACTGGAACTAACAAGCTCACCAGAAGAGTTTGAAATGACAACTCTCTGAGGACATTGCTGAAACACAACTATTAGATAATCCAAACTCCCAAAAAGGTCAAAAAACAAACTTTTTCTGGGCACACACAATCACACGATTATAACAGTCCAAGGTAACAGCATGAAAACTGGACTAGGATGGGCTGTTATAATCATACAATTATAACAGTCCAAGCTGCAACAACCACTATCACTGGTTGACATGCAAACAACCCTTTGGTTTTCACTTGGCAAACAAGAAACATAAAGCTGGTCACTTGAAAAAAAAATTCTAATAATAAACACCTTCCGGTCAAGTTCAATAACCTTGAGCATAAACAGCCTTCAACCAATCTCCAAACATAGTCCAGACCAAAAAAAACAGGAAAGAACTTTCCTTATATAACTTGTGTAGTCCTCTTACATGCTTAGGTCACTTGAGGATCAACCTGGAAATAGGAAAAAAAAATACTTGGTCCTACACCAAGGAAGGAAAAGAAGAAGCTTGGATGTAGCGATCAGATCAAGGAATATAACGGCAAACCCCCTTGCACCCACTTAACCCTGTTTTACTTTTATAAATAAAACAGAGAAGTTGAATGGGTTAATAGTAGCACCCACTTAACCCTGTTTTATTTATAAAAGTAAATTATTACAGAGTGATCCTTGAAAGAAAGGAATATAACGGCAAACCCCCTTGCACCTGAAACATTCACAAAAATACCCCTGACAACATAACTGATATGATATGGAACCTTCTAGATTGGGAAGGGTTTCTATTTTATATTTTAGTTTACTGATTTTTTCTTTTCTTAGTTCCTTTTACAAATCACAATGAGCGTGTGCACAACTAGGAGAATTGGTGAGTTGGTCACACCACGTCAGCCCTATTAGTTGTAAAAGGGTCATATGGGTCATACAAGTATCCTTTCCTACGCCCACACATCTGATATACGGGAAGCTGCTGGCTTTTGCACAGGATAGCTGAATTTTGCATGCTTTATATTAACAAAAATGTGACTTCTGCATTATTTGTGCTTTACTGTGGACTTTCATAAGTCCATGCTCTTATAGATGGAACAATAAAAGTAAATAAATAAAACAAATTTTATGGGAATTTTTTAAACATCTCAATTCAAAGTAATGTGAAAGCTAATGTCTCAGTCTCACTGCTGATTTTATTTTGGACATTTATCGCTAGAGCTTCCCCATCCCCACCCACCCATTAAAGGGGAACTAGACATAATATAGAAGATGTTTTGGATGTATTGCTGTTATTTTCAACCATTAAACTATAATAAATTTTAGCTCATCTTTCTTGTTGGAGTTATGAATGAAAAACTAAAATAAGAGAAGGAAATTAACAAAAATTCTACTAGATATAGCTATTTTAACCCAGTTTTGGGGTTTGCTGAACTGAAACATTCTGTAAAACATTAAAAAGAAAACCAGAAAAAAGGAAATCATCTTCTGAGCTGTTGAAAACCCATAATTATTTTGACTAATGAACACACTTTTGCAGGATTTGTGTTGGACAAGGATGACCAAAGCATTACGAGATCTGACTTATACTTCAAGGAACTTTTCAACCAATGTGGTCTGCATCTCTACAAATCAAAGGTTAATATTTCAATGGGCCATTGAACCGTGGTCTATGTTCTCTATTCTTTTATCCATTTATTGACAAGTAAATCCTAATGAAAAGGCAAGAGAATGATGGAATGGTGCAATGTCTATGTGATCTAAGGAGAATCAATTTCTTACTTAGCCTTGAAGCTTTTAAAAATATCATAGCATAGATCCTAGAAATGCCAAAGGTTATAGGTCCATATCCAATCCACCTCTCCCAAGACCCCAGATGGCTGGGATTAGTATTGGGTAATGACCTTTAGATGCTGAAAATGATGTGTTATTCAATTAGCCTGGCCTTTCTTATATACCACTTGAAAGAAGAAGAACTGTTTATTGTATTACAGGTTTGAAGAGAAGAAAAGAGAGAAAGAGAGAGAGAGAGAGAAAAAAAAATGAAGAGGAGAAAAGAAAGAAGGGGTTCAGTGGTGAATGATCTGCTGCCCCATACACTCCTTTATTTATAGCTTTTAGGATCCTTACAAGAATAGGAAATAAACAAAAATTAGAAACAATAAGGCCAGCTGGCCCAACTTAATAGAAATTAGAAACTTCTAATAACAGAAATTAGAAACTTCTAATAACAGAAATTAGAAACTAAAGAAATTAGAATTACTAAAAAGAAATTAGAAACTACTAATAAAAGAAATTAGAAACAACTAGGTGTGGGCATGAAACCACACACACTAGAGCCTGAGTGTGGGTATGGAACCCCACACTCATGGCTAGCCAACTATTTCTTCACTCCCCCTCAAGTTGGGAGGAGATATTTGTCATGCCCAACTTGCGTAGATCTGTCTCCAATTTGCCTTTTGTGACTGCTTTGGTGAAGAGATCAACTAACTGCATGTCTGAGGCAATGTAAGGAAGGCATACTTTTTGATATGCAATTCGCTCTTGGATAAAATGTCTGTCAACCTCGATATGCTTAGTCTTGTCATGTTGTATTGGGTTGTGGGCAATATTAATTGCAACTTGATTATCACATAACCAACCTCCAACTCATTAAGTCAGGATCTCAACAATAACACTTCTGCAACACCGTTGGCCATGGATCTGTATTCCACTTTTGCACTAGAGCGAGCAACAACATTTTGTTTCTTGCTTCTCTAGGAAACAAGATTTCCCCCCACAAATGCACAATATCCAGAGGTGGACTTCCTATCATCAACACATCCAGCCCAATCCGCATCTATATAAACTTCTATTTTCATATGACCATTATTCTTGTAGAGTATACCTCTCCCTCGACATCTCTTTAAGTAGGCAAGGATCCTTTCTACTGCAAGGAGATGGGTGGTCCTAGGAGAATGCATGTACTGACTGATAACACTGACGGCATAAGAAATATCTGGTCGGGTTAGACAGAGATAAAGAAGTTTCCCAACCAGCCTTTGGTACATAGCCCTGTCCTCAAGGAGTTCTCCACTTTCTGCACTTATCTTATGGTTAGGCTCAATGGGAGTATCAGCGTTTCACTCCTAACTTGTCAGTTTTTTCCAATAAGTCTAGAACATACCTCCTTTGGGAGATGAAAATGCCATGCTTAGATCGAGCTACCTCAATTCCTAGGAAATAGTGTAACTTTCCTAGGTCTTTTACTTCAAATTCCTTACGAAGGTGTTGTTTAAGGGTTTCAACTTCACTAGTGTCACTTCCTGTTATCACAATGTCATTTGCATAGACTGCAAGTAGAGTCAGGGAATGACCTGTCTTCTTAAAGAAGAGGGTGTGATCTGACTGAGCCTGTATGTATTTGAATTTGCCCAAAGCTAGTCTAAACCTATCAAACCAAGCTCTCAGGCATTGTTTCAGCCCGTACAAGGCCTTTTTCAAAAGGCAAACTTTCTTTCCTGCTTCTCTACTATAAAAACTAGGGGGTAACTCCATGTATACTTCCTCTTGCAAGTCTCTAGTGAGAAAAGCATTCTTAACATCCAACTGAAATAGTGGCCATGAGAAATTTGCAGCAACGGATAAAAGAACTTTGGTAGTGTTCATTTTTGCATTAAGTGCAAAGGTTTTTATATAGTCTATGCCATAAGTTTGTGTGAATCCCTTTGCAACCAATCTGGCCTTATACCTCTCTACAGTACCATCAACATTATATTTCACAGTAAACACTCATTTGTATCCAACAGGTTTCTTCCCTTCAGGCTAGTTAATTAGTTCCTATGTGTTCTTGACAAGAGCATCCCATAGTTTTCAAGGCGCTAAGGCGAGGCTGGGCGTTAGGGGTAGGGGTGGCAACGAGCCAAGCTTTTCACGAGCTGCTCGAGCTCGGCTCGGCTCGGATTCAGCTTAGCTCGAGCTCGAGCTCGAGCCTACTAGAGCTTGGCTAAGGCTCGCGAGCCGGCTCGAATATATATATAATAAAAAAATTTATATATAATTTTTATTTTTATAAAATATTTTTTCTAAATATTTTTATAAAATATAAGCCGAGCTGAGCCGAGCTCTAGCTTATAAACTCTTGACTCAAGCCGAGCTCGAGCTTGAGCTTTGTAGAATAGTCTTGAGCCAAGCTCGAGCCTAGTACTATTCAGCTCGGCTCGGCTCGGCTCGGCTCGAATCCACCTCTAGTTAGGGGGCACCTTGTCGTCTAGTCTCCTAGGCGACGGATTTTGTTATATACAAAACATAGATCCTAGGGTAGTTCCCTAGGTACCATAGCCATATTTCCTTAATAATTATTCATAATTTTCATAAGAAAAGTATAGAGTTCATGTTAAAGTATAGAAAATATGTTGATTAGACAAAATTTTAAGTTCTTCCTTACATATTGGTTCACGTTTTAAAGTCTGAGGGTTCAATACAGCATTTAGCAATGTTTGTATTGATTAAATCTTAACAGATAAGAAAATAATAAAAACAAATTAGTATATAAACACACAAAATGAATATTTTAGTTTAACTATGCCTATTTTAAAATTATAATGTTAAAAAATAAAGAATAAAAAAGTATTTTACAATACATAGTACAAAGCTGCTTGGTGATTAGGCAAGGCGCCTAGGCGTAGCCTTGACAACTATGGAGCATCCATCCCTACTTTTATTGCTTCCTTCCATTCAAGTATCAAAAGAGGTTCTTGCACTTTTTTGGGTATAGGAATAGAAGAAATAGATGCCAAGTAAGATCTATAGGATTCTGAGAGACAATTATAGGAAAGGAACTTGGAGATGCAATGGGCAGTGGATGAGGTGCAATGGCACTTCCCTTTACGAATAGCAATTGGAAGATCAAGGTCATCTGTTGATGAAGGCTGAACCTATGTAACAGTGGGATCAACAGCGGGAGCAGTAGTGTCTGGATTTGGAGTTGTAGAAGATGTTGGGACTGGCCTGAATTGCTGTTGAGTATGAGAATCAACTTGCCTCCACCACTTTCTGTAATACACCCTCAACTCCCTGCATTTTTGATAACATTCTTCACAACTCTCCCCCTCAGTAACCGGGACAGGTAAAGGAACTCTTGGAGCTAAAACTGAAATCCCTTCTTCATTATTCTCCCCCTGAGGAGAAGCCTTATGATAGTAGGGCATATCCTCAAAGAAGGTGGCATCCATGGACACAAAGCGCTTCCCTGAAATTGGCTCATAATAGCAATATCCCTTTTGATTTTGTGCATACCCAAGGAAAATACACTTAGTGGCTTTGGAATCACCTGGAAAGATGAGGTCCAAGGATTTGAACAAAACAAGTACACCCAAAAGTTTTGAGGGGAATAGTGAATAGGTCCTTATCTGAATATAGAAGACTGAACGGGGTTTGTATGTTTAGGACCCATGAAGGAACCCTGATAATGAGGTATATGGCTGTACGGATTGCATCTCCCTAGAAGCGTATGGGAACATTAGATTTGAGCATTATGCTTCTGGCTACCTCTAAAATATGTTTGTTTTTTCTCTCAGCAACCCTGTTTTGCTAAGGTGTGCGACAATAGGTGCTCTGATGAATGATCCCATGATAAAGGAGATAGGATGCCAAAGGTTTTGCAAAGTATTCCTTGGCATTATCAGATTTAAGAATCTTGATCTTGATTTCAAATTGAGTGAGGATCATCTGATGGAAAGCTTGGGTCAGAGGGGAACCTCATCTCGACAGTGCATAAGATAGACCTATGAAAAACGAGTATAGTCATCAACAAATAATAAGAAATATCTGTAGCCCCCCATGGTGGGAGTATAGTAGGGCCCCCAAACATCGGTATGCACAATCTCAAAAGGAAGGTTGCTTCTTTTATTACTTAAAGGATAAGATGATCTACTATGTTTTGCAAGTTCACAACTCTCAGATTTTAACCCAGACTCTTTAAAGTTTGGAAAAAGACTCTTTAAAGACCCAAAAGATAAATGACCTAAGCGGTTGTACCAAAGCATAATCTTACTACAAGACTGAGAAACAAACAATTTCCCTGCTTCACTCTGCTCTCCTTATGAATGTTCCAACAGATAGACTCCATTCATCTCACGGCCAATCCCAACCACCTTCTTCGTTTCCAGATCCTGAAAAATACACTGATCAGGGAAAAAAGTTACCGAATAGTTTTGATTTTTAGTAATACTACTAACTGAAAGTAAGTTAGCACTAAGCTTGGGAACATGCAAAGCTGAGGATAGGGTGATGTTATCTGATAATCTGATTGTTAGACAGTTTTATATGCCCTTAGCTTCAATCAGA